GTAATAATCAGTGCTTTTTTCTAGGGGTTCTCCAGGGTTCTGGCACCGTTTTTCCCTGGAAGAAAAGCACCGATTAAAAGTGTGTCACTTACTGTAACTACATGGCGAGTACCGGCCCCTTTTTTCTAGAAGAAAAGCACTGGTATTATTATTATAATAGTTATTCATAATAATAATTTATTATTAAATTATTAATATTAGTGAAATTATTATTATTTCAGGGGTAAGTTGTTTACATATGAAAGCTTTTGCAAAGCCAGAAAGGAACAAGCGAAGAAAAGAGGGAGAAGCCGCTAGAGAAAATTCCAGCTGTACACGTGAACAGGTGCGTTCACACATGCGCTTACTCGCACTCTCCGCCCGACAGAGCCTCGCGCAGCCGGACCGAGAGCGGCAGGGAGCCTGGTTCCATTCCGCCACTAGAGGGCGGCCGAGGGGGCCGAGGAGGCGCATCTGCGCATGCTCATAGTCTCCCGCACATGCGCAGATTTCCCACAGGCCGAGGCAGCGGCTACTTCCAATCCCCGCCGCGCCGGCGGCGGAATCTCGGCCCGGCGGGGTTGCCCTCGAGACGCGGCCGGAGAGCCGCCCGCGCAGCCCCGGCGAGGGCCGCGCGCCCGCCGCGGCTCCTCACAGCCGCTGTCCGCAGGCGGCAACGCCCGGCCCCCGCCGCCATCTTGCTTTTAAAGTTGAAGCTTCCCTCTCAAGGCCTGCCTGGGCTTCTCATTGGCTGGCGTCGCAATGACTGACTGCCCGGCTGCCCAGTAAAAAAAGAGGAACGAGGAGGGACTGGTAGGCGGGGGAAAAGAGAATCCTCTCTGAGGTATAGAGGTTGGAAAGGGGGCATCCAGGCCTCTGCCCCTTTTCCTTTCCCCGCCCGCCCTGTTGATTGGGTCCTGGAGTTGAAGGTTTACGTCACTATGATTGAACGGTTGTAGTTGGCTCTATCCTTGTTCCGCGTTCCCCCATTCAGCCTAAGAAAGACATAGAGGACTCGGTACTTATTTGTCCGCAGACAAGATTTCCGGCATTTGCATCCATCCATCCATCCATTGATTTGTTTTGCGTTCCTTCTATTAAAATTCATTGACTGCTTTCCCCTTCATTGCATTTCCACCGTTTATTTATTCATTCAGTTTAAGGGGCGCATTATCCACCCTCTCTTTTTTAAAAAAAATATTAGATTTTTCCACAATTATAACAAAAACCACAAAGCAGAATGACACACAAAAACAGGAACAAAAAGAAAAAATACATGAACGAAAGAAGAATAAAGGAGCAATAAACAGATAAACAATAACAACAAACTTAATTCTTTACAATCCAAGCTTTTAAACATCTTGGTTTACTTCCTCTAGTCCCTCCTTCTGAGTTTCCTTGTAGTTAAAAGTAACAGCTTTCCCCTATCATTTTAAAACTAAAACAATTTCCAATTATAGTCCCATCTTACTCACTTTTCTTAATATTCTCAATCAATCAATCTTTATTACGGTCAGAGACCCAACAAATCATTACAAATCAATACACAATTCCTACAGCCTATTATATTCTAAATCCCATTATTTAATTATAACTTAATCCTAGGTCTATTTATTTCTTTCAATTAATTTCTAATTTTTATATTACAATATTTATTCAAATAGTGCTTAAATTTCCTTCCAGTCCTCTTGAAACTCCTCTTCTTTCTGGTCTCGGATTCTTGCAGTCAGGTCAGCTAGCTCCGAAAAAGTTCCATCATCTTCATCTGGCCAATCTTCCACTGTTGGTAGTCCTTGTGTTCATTATCCACCCTCTCTACTTTATTTCCTGATTGCATCGACATCCTTTTCTATGCCAGCCTTCTTTATATCTACTTCAACCAAGTTGCATTCCAGCTTTCTGGAAAGGAAACAAGCAAAAACCCCAATCTATTGCAGAATTGCGTCTTCCAACAAACAGAGCTTCTCTTTTGCAAGACGTTTGGAAGTGAGAACTACAAATCCCAGCATCCATTGCGAGGAGAGGGGCATCCATATGGTTCTTCCCTTCCCTACACTTCCGGTCTGGTTTGCAAGGAGTCTTAATTTCGCAGCTGGGTTGTTTTGTCTGTTTCTGGGAGCGATCACTGGTTTTACAGGTTGCTTTGCGTTTGGAACAAAAGGGGTCGAGGTAGGTGGTTTTCCAGGAAAAGGGAGAGGTCATTTATGGGATGCAATATAATTGCTTTGGATGGGAGGATAAAGGATGCTAAGCGGATAATATTTGGTACAAAACCTCCTTTTTGTGCAGTATTTGGAAAGCTCAGCTGTTATGGGGATGGGGAGGAGCTTCCAAGCCCTGCAAAGATAATTCATATTATTCTTTTGGTTGCAAAGGAAAATAAGAAAAATGGTGACCCTATGAGTTGTGCAACCAATTTCAGTTTTTGTGTGTCAAGTTGTCATGATTTTTTGCAAATCTCTCTCTTAGCTTTGCAAACTGCACCAAGCTATCATGCTAGCTGAATGATAAAAGCTGGGATCGGAGCATGATAGCCTAGCTCTTGCAAGGGACATTGTTTTCAACGCTGCAGCTCTGTTCTTGCAGAGCTTGGTCTTGCCAGGAGCAACAGACAACTGAGTGAAGAAATGGATATGATATATGGTAGAATCAGAGATAAAGCAAGTTAACTATACTGTACATAAGAGTAGACCATCTCTTGCTCCATGAACTTATCTGATCTGCTTTTAAAGCTGTAAATGGTCCTGCAGCAGGGAGTTCCATAAGTCATCATCAACCTTTATTACGGTCCAGAGACCCAACAAATCGTTACAAAGCAATACATGCAGCCTACCTCCAGGTTAAACAAGCATTTCGTTCAGAATATAGGGATCATTGGTTCTTGCAACCACCGATAAAAACTTGGCCACTGCTAATGCTCTAGCATTTGTCCAGTCTTCCAATAGGAGCCTGACATAGTGAGCCTCTGATTTTCTCGGGAAAGGTACCAGCAAGGGTAATATCAGTTCAGCCCTGGCTTGCTCATATTTCTCACAGGGCAGCAAAATATGTTTTATAGAATCAATATCTTGAGCACACGAGCAAAGTCTGTCTGTCCTGGTAGGGAACTCCTCTCAACCTCCCATTCAACACTGCAGAAGGAAAGACGTTTAGTCTGGCTTTGGTGAAAAGCCTTCGATAATTTGGTACTGTCAGGTTTTTAATGTAAGATGTTAACTTAAAGACATGCCCGTATTGTACTCCTACTGCCAGCGGACTACAGACTGTGTGTGATTGAGATCACAAGTCTCTGTGTGCATAAGTTAATTTTGCATTGCTCCAAGAAGGACTTTACCAGATCCACCACAATTCTTTTGCCTGTTGGTTTTCCTTCTACTTTTTACAATTCGTACATAATCAAGAAGTTACACTGAGTTGCAAACAGACAGCCCAGCAACATCACCTTGTTTACATTCCTAAGCAAAATGTAAACTGTCTCAAATTTATATTGCGGATACATCTTACTATTTTGACTGAAGAAAACCTAATGGGCTGGACAACATAAATGTTATCGCTGTAGAAAAGCTTGAACTCATTTCGGTTCTGAAAATCACACATTGTGAGGATAATTGGGAAAGGGTGTTTTTTCATGCTATTAAACTGATAATTGACTGCTGTGTATTCTCTGCCGCATACCTCTTGAGTAACAATTTCTGGGAGTTTTAATTCAAGAGAGTTTTTGCACTCAGGACGTGACATCCGATGCCCTTTTAAATGTACTGTGGGAAGGGAGATTTGTTTGTTTGTTTATTATTCTTATTATTTCTATTTATTGTGATTTATTGCATCTGTATACCGGCCATATACCCACAGGTCTCAGGGCGGTTCACAGCATAACATTACCATGTAAAAAACACAAAATACATAATAAAAACAAGAATGTTGGATTGTTTGTTTCTTTCCGTTCTTATTTTTATTTTATATTTTGTGGTTTTTACATAGTAATGTTATGTTGTGACCTGCCCTAAAATATTGTTATTATGAGGCCATGGTGAAACAGGAGGCTGGATTAGACACGGCCGCTTTGGCTTGATGCAGCAGCCAGGCTTTTCTTGTGTCCTTATGGAACCTCCAGGTCCAGTGGCAGTCTATCTGGATTCCTAGTTTCTTAGGGGCATTTGGCCACTGTGAGGACAGGAGGCCCTTTGGCCCGATGTCCATATGCTCCTGATCAGGACTCCCCCTATTCTGTTTTTTTTAAAAAAAAAGATATTTATTAAAGTTTTCAAAATGTTACAAAAAGAAAAAGAAAAAATACAAAGTAAAAACAGTTAAAAACAATTCAATCTTTCCGTATCTTATCTTTCATTTGCTTGTTCCCCAGACCTCCTCACAGCTCCCTTTTTTGTATTCCAGTTCAATTAGTTGGTTCAGCAAATCCTTTCCCTCTTTGTTTTTATCCTAATCTTTAATCGTAATATATTATAACTTTAGATTATCACCTTTTAACAATCCATTTTTGCACATTCCTTTATAACATTACTGCTAAAAACCACTTAACTTCAATCCAACATCATTCTAACATTCATTAATTTTGCAGTATTTCTATAGATAGTCTTTAAATTTCTTCCAATCTTCTTCCACCGACTCTTTTCCCTGGTCTCAGATTCTGCCAGTCATTTCCGCCAGTTCCATATAGTCCATCACCTTCATCTGCCATTCTTCCAGGGTAGGTAAATCTTGTGTCTTCCAATACTTTGCAATAAGTACTCTCACTGCTGTTGTAGCATACATAAAGAAAGTTCTATCCTTCTTTGGCACCAATTGGCCGACCATGCCCAGGAGAAAGGCCTCTGGTTTCTTCAGGAAGGACTCCCCCTATTCTGGATCCGTTGCCCCCGCAATGGAACTGTCACCCCCAAAACCGTGTTGCTTTCTTCCCTTTCCAGGAAGGCCTTCCGGAACAGCAAACCTGGACTCCCCTCTTGACCGTGGGGCCCTGATGGACACCTCGGAGCCCAGCAGTGCGACGGAGGAGGAGGAGGAGAAGGTGACGGCCGAGCAGCGCCCCAGGACCCGCTCCAACCCCGAGGGCGCCGAAGACCGGACCCTGAGCGCCCAGGCGAGCGTGGGCAGCCGCAGCGAGGGGGAAGGGGAGGCGGCCAGCACGGGCGACAGCCCCAGAGTGCCACGGCCACCAATGGGAAAGGCTGGCCTCCCACAGTCCCGCCCACCGAGTTCCAGGTCAGGACGCCACGGGTCAACTGCCCGGAAAAAGTGGTGAGTACCTTATTCTGCCCTCGACTTTTCCGGGACAGCCCCAGCTTGGTCCCATGAGCTCATCCTAGAAGAGGCAGTTTTAGAGATTTGATGGACCGTTTGGGATAGCTCAGTTGGTAGAGCATGAGACTCTTGATCTCAGGGTCGTGGGTTTGAGCCCCGCGTTGGGCATTGCACGGGGTTGGGATGGATGACCCTCGGGGTCCCTTCCAACTCTACAATTGTTCTATGGAACATGACCGTGATATTCTCTCTCTCTCTCAGATCATCTGCCTTGACCTCTCGGAGGAAATGTCCCACTCGAAACTGGAATCGTTCAACGGGTGAGTGGCCTTTTCCCTTCTGGTCGGCCGACATTTTTCTGTTGCGGAACTACAATGTTTTATTCTGTTTTTTGATGTTTTATTCTGTTTTGGGGAGTTGCCCAAAGTGGCTGGGGAAACCCAGCCAGATGGGCGGGATATAAATAAGAAATTATTATTAATATTGTTGTTTCTGTTTCACATTGTGATGGAAGTTCTTTTTAAAAAAGTTTTTTTATTTTCAATTTTAACATATCAAAATATCAAAACATCTCATATTCATTATTTCCCCGCCTTTCCCCCACCTCCCCATCAACCGCTCTCCCCAAGACTTCCCTCAGCTCCTCTCTCTGATTTTTCAACACATATTATTCTCTGCATACTATAAAATTGTATAAATCCTTATATTATCTATCTGCTATGTTAGCAATCAATAAATCTGTGTATGTTTATTCAAAACCTGCCAAGGTGTCCAATTCATTTTGTTGTCTTTTTTAAGTAATTTGTAAAGAGTTCCCATTCAAATAAGTCACAGTTGTCCTTATCTTGCAATTTATATGTGGGCATCTTCCCTCTCTCTGGAAGGTCGAAAACCAACGCTCTGAACATTTCCCAGAAGATGATAGAGATGTTTGTCCGGACCAAGCACAAAATCGACAAGAGCCACGAGTTTGCGCTGGTGGTGGTCAACAACGACGTCACCTGGGTACGTTTCTGTCTCTTTTCTCTGACCACCCATTTGACTGCAGACTGCTTAGGGGTTGCGGTTTTTATTGCCCCCCCCCAACTGTGGCAGCTTTTGACCTGCCTCGTCACATTTCGCACAACAGTTGTGTTTCTTTGCCCAAGCCCTTTAGCCCTGGAATTGGAGGAGATGCTAGAATCGTAGAATTGTAGAGCTGGAAGAGACTGCTAAGGGCATAGCTGTCAACCGTCCCTTATTTGGCAGGAAAGTCCCTTATCCCAGCGCGTGTCCCGCTGCTGTCCCTTATTGATGATGTCCCTTAAATTTCCCATGTTTCAAAGGAAGCAGCTCCTCTCCCTCCCTCCCTGCCGGCCAGGGAGGAGGGAGGCTCCAACTGTGTGGCTTGGCTGCGTTGCTCACCCAATAAGGAGCCTGAGAACGACTGGGGGGTGGAGCTTGCATGCCTTGTGCTGATCAAATCGGCCGCGTTGCCTGGGGACTCGCCTTTGCTCAGCGCTTCCCAGCGGAGAGGTGACGGTGGTTTTCCTTGCTGCATCCCCTTTGCCGGGTTGCTGCGCTGTGGGAACCACCGCTTGAGGCTTTGTTTGGCTGCTGGCTGGGCTTTCTGCCTTTGGCTTGGAGGGGCTCAGAAGCTGAACATACCTGTTCTCTGAAAATCCCTTATTTTGGCTGCTGATTCCTTATTTTCAAGGCTGCTGGTCCCTTATTTTCAAATCTGTAAGTTGACAGCTATGCCTAAGGGTCAACAAGTCCAACCCGCGGCAAGACAGGAATCTTTCGCCTGACGTGGGGCTACATTATAGGTAATTATATGAGATGTCTAAAGAAGACAACAAGAAAGGATTTAGTTACACCATTTCTTGATTTCAAAAGGAAGTCATCGAAGGGAAAGCGAAGTTGCTGAAGGGTGCATATAGTATTCCGCTAGAATGGGAAACAAAAGATGAGGAGGTGAAATCGGTCATGATCAAATGGGCACAAGATATAGGACATAACACGCAATTCAAAGATTGGGAAAAATTGTGGAAAACAGACTTAAAATTTACAGATTGTTCTCTTCTGAAAGAAAATTACATGAAAATGATGTATAGATGGTATATAACACCAGTACAGATAGCAGAAATGTATAAAACTGGGTCAAACATATGTTGGAAATGTAAAGAAAAGGAAGGGACCTTTTACCATATGTGGTGGGAATGCAGAGAAATTAAAAAAAAATTGGTAAATGATATACAATGAGTTGAAGAAAATGTTTAAAATGACATTTGTAAAAAGAGCTATCTCATGTTTTCTGCTCCATCCCTTCGGACAGTTTGGATGCCCTTCCCCACCTTCTCAACCTTTTTTTTGCGGGGAGGTAAATAACTGTAATAGGTATGAGTTACTCGTGCGTAAACTGGTGCCTATCTCGGTTAATTTGCCTTGTTAAACTTTTCTGACTGCACAGCCCCTTCTCATGGTGGCTGCCTCAGTCACTGGCAGAATCCGTCAGTGGGCGTTTCTTGAACCTCTTCCAACATAAAAGTTGTTTGACACCCAGTCTCCTCCGCCTCTCACTGCACGGGAGTCTTCTGCGCAGGGAAGGCGTGGGTAGCAGAGGACCTGGGCTCTCCTCACTGATGTCCAGTGAAGAGTCCTGGAACCCTCTCTCCAATTCCCCCGTCTGCCCCCCTTTATCCCTGGTGTTGCGCTGATTGGCTTCCCCCTCTACTGAGCTGTTTCTCCCCCTGCTGCTGGGTCCTTCGCCAGCATCATCTGGGAGCCTCCCCTTCGCCTCTCGCTCTGATGTCAGTTCCCTGACAATAACCTTCCTGCTTGTAGCTTTTCCTTTGTCTTGCGATGCTCAAGGAGTTCAGGGATACTTTTAAAAAACAATTTTATAAGTTGTGCGCCCTTCTTTCTCAATTTGATCCTTTACATGATTGCGTGTTTTTGGTGGTATTTTGTGCATTGTGGGTCCTGCCATTATTTTTATTGATTACAGTTTAGTAATCCTTTATTGTAATTGCAAGGTGTAAACTGCTTAATTACTACCGTATTTTTCGCTCTATAAGACACACCAGACTATAAGATGCACCTAGTTTTTGGAGGAGGAAAACAAGAAAAAATAATATTTTCAATCTCAGAAGCCAGAACAGCAAGAAAGTGTGAAAGCAGCAATCCCTCTTGCTGTTCTGGCTTCTGGGATAGCTGCGTAGCCTGCATTTGTTCCATAAGACACACAGACATTTCCCCTTACTTTTTGGGAGGGAAAAGGTGAGCCTTATAGAGCAAAAAATACGGTAACTGCTGATTTTTAATTTTACTGTTGGCTGGTGTATTCTAATGGATAGCTGAATATTGCTTTATTTGATATAAGCCGTTTAGTTTAAAGTTAAGTTTTTATTGTGACTTTTTGTAGTGGGTCATGTTTGTAAACTGCCTTGTGTGCCTTTCTAACATAGAAAGGCGGAAAACAAATCAAACGTGAAATGAATTGAAGAGGGATAATCACCTGCTTTCTGGCTTTCTTCCCCTACCCCTCCAGCTCTCTGGATTCACCTCTGATCCTAGAGAAGTTTGCAGCTGTTTGTATGACCTGGAGACAGTGGTGTGCAAGTCCTTCAGTATCCTTCTCACCGTGTGCTGGCGGAATTGCGGCGGGTTGGGCTAGATGACCTTTGGGGGGTCCCTGATTTATGGGATTTAGGAATCTGGACCGGGAAGGGCTGGATACCAGTTGGGGCAAGAGCACACTGCAGAGAATTATCCACCTTAACGTTTCTCCCTCCTTGAAGATCTCGAAGGTCTTTTCAGCCTCATGTAAGTTTCTCCCGGTGGGACGGGCATTGGGTTGTTCCTGGGATGTTTCAGACCCAGGGCTTCAGACAAGAAACCCTTTCCCTGGGGATGCCAGCGGGGACTAGACCCCTGGGACCTTCTGCACTACCGCACTGTGACCCACCCCTTAAAAATAAGGCGCTAGTCCTCATGTTCCTGCGTGAACTGCTGAGTTGAGCAGGAAGGATCCTGGTTGCCTTACGAACAGGGGAAGTGGGATTTTCCCGTTGTTCCCTCTAGCTCAGGGGGTGGGCGTAGGCTAAGGGAGCCTGCAGGAAACCTGCTATCAGTCCAGTTCCCTCCTTCTCTCTCATCTACGCAGACAGCAGAAGACAGAACTGCCCGTGACGGAGAATGTGCAGAGCATCCCACCGCCGTACGTGGTCAGGACCATCCTGGTTTATAGCCGGCCAGCTTGCCACCCCCGGTCACAATCACGGAACAGATGAAGGTGCCTGTTCCTTTTTTTCTTTCTTTAAAAATTATTTTTTGTTGTTTAGTTGTTTAGTCATGTCCGCCTCTTCATGACCTCCTGGACCAGAGCACGCCAGGCCCTCCTGTCTTCCACTGCCTCCCCCAGTTTGGTCAAACTCATGCTGGTAGCTTTGAGAACACTGTCCCACCATCTCGTCCTCTGTCATCCCCTTCTCCTTGTGCCCTCCATCTTTCCCAACATCAGGGTCTTTTCCAGGGAGTCTTCTCTTCTCATGGGGTGGCCAAAGTCTTGGAGCCTCAGCTTCAGGATCTGTCCTTCCAGTGAGCACTCAGGGCTGATTTCCTTCAGAATGGAGAGGTTTGATCTTCTTGCAGTCCATGGGACTCTCAAGAGTCTCTTCCAGCACCAGAATTCAAAAGCTCTCACCTGTGGCTCCTAGAAGCTGCCAGCAGGTGGCAGTGGCCACACCCCAGGATTGGCTTTGACTGGCTGACTGATCCAGGTGAGGGGAGCTGATGGGCCTCGGACCCTCAGTGAGTCAGGGGCTTCCCCTGCATGCGAGGACCCCGCTCTGGTGGATGGAGCGGATGAGACCAAGTGGGCCCAGTGGTCAAGAAGGCAGTTTCTGCCCATGCCATAAATAATAATAATAATAATAATAATAATAATAATAATAATAATTTTTATTTATGCCCCGCCCTTCCCGGGCTCAGGGCGGCTAACAACAAATTTAAAACACTTAATTGATACAACGAAAAACAGCATAAAATACGGTATAAAACGTGAATAACGATAAATTCAGAATTCAAAAATCAATTTGGGGCAAAATCCATCCAATAACAATAGATGATCACCAGGGCTACCTGGCTGAATTAGTCCTATTTGGGACAGCGAGGGAGACCAGGAGAGAATTAGCTGTGGGGTCTCAGAGCGGGTGATCTTCATATAAGGAGAGGGAAGAGAAGGGAAATAAAAAGATCAGGCTGAATTCAAATTAAAGGCCAGGTGGAATAGCTCTGTCTTACAGGTCCTGAGGAAGGAGGTTAAATCCTGCAGGGCCCTGGTCTCCTGGGACAGAGCATTCCACCAGGTCGGAGCCATCACTGAGAAGGCCCTGGCCCTGGTGGAGGATAGTCTGACTTCCTTAGGGCCCAGGACTTCTAAACTATGGTTGTCATGGACCTTAAGGTTATCTGCAGGGCAGACCAGGAGAGGCGGAAGTGAGGGGCAGGTGGGGCTCAACCACCTGGGAAGGAGCCCATCTAGGAGAAGGAAAACTCTGGCCCTAATCCTCCGCTGCCTCGTGTGACATCTTCGGGAGAAGAAAAGGCTCAGGAGTAGACCCTTCGCAAATCTGGAGTGGAGTCCCTAAGGCGGTTGGACGGCACCTTGTACGCCTGTTTTTGGCAACTCCCGCAGCCCTGCTGGTGCCAATTCGTCTAACTCTGCTTCCCTTTGGACCCCATAAGCGAGTTCAAGTGGGGGGTGGTCCTGGTCGCCTGGGCAGCCCAGGACCTCCAGACACATTGCCCAGGCTTGCGCCCCAGGGAGGTCACTTGGGTACTGTTAGTGCAGCAGTTTGGCTTCACCCTCCGAGGTGCACTCCATTGCATCTTGAGACAGATGGATGTTGCTGTGTTGTTTAGTCATTCAGTCGTGTTCGACTCTTCGTGACCCCCTGGACCAGAGCACGCCAGGCACTCCGTCTTCCACTGCCTCCCGCAGTTTGGTCAAACTCATGCTGGTAGCTTCGAGAACACTGTCCCACCATCTCGTCCTCTGTCGTCCCCTTCTCCTTGTGCCCTCCATCTTTCCCAACATCAGGGTCTTTTCCAGTGAATTTTCTCATGAGGTGGCCAAAGTCTTGGAGCCTCAGCTTCAGAATCTGTCCTTCCAGTGAGCACTCAGGGCTGATTTCCTTAAGATTTCCCTTAAGAAAGAGACGATGGATGCCAACTAGTAATTTCGCTGGCATCTATATCATGCGTCATTTGTGACCGTGCTGCTTTTGTCTTTTCCGCACAGAAAATGCTCCAGTGCCCTTATTACTACTTTGACGTGCTCTACATCCACAACGGCTTCGAGGACAAAGAGGAGGAAACCAGCTGGAAGGTAAACAGAATTACTGGGCCAGGAAGTGGGATGGGACCCTGATGTCCCCTAGATGTTGCCAGTCATGCCTCAGCTGCCAGCTTGGCCAAGTTCAGGAGCACATTGCTGGCAAGATCTCACTCCACTGCTGAGAGAGATGCGCTGATTGTGGCTGCCAGACTAGGACAGGGAGCAGCCGCCGAGAACATATAACACTGGCTGCCAGTACTTTTCCGAGCACCGTTCAAAGTGTTGGTGCAGACCTTTAAAGCCTAAATGGCCTCAGCCCTGTAGGCGCGTCTCCACCTCCATCGTTCAGCCCAGACACTGAGGTCACCTCTGAGTGTCTTCCGGGGCTCCCTCCTGGCGAGAAAAGAAGTTGCAGGGAACTGGGCAGAGGGCCCTTCTCAGTGGTGGCGCCCTCCCTGTAGAACACCCTCCCAGCAGATGTCAAGGAGATAATAAACTATCTGACTTTTAGAAGGCATCTGAAGGCAGCCCTGTTATGGAAGTTTTAATATTGAACGCTGTATTGTTTTTAACACTCGATTGGAAGCCGCCCAGAGTGGCTGGGGAAACTCAGCCAGATGGGCGGAGTATAAATAATAAATTATTATTATTAAACATCAAACATTACAAACTTCCCATACAGGGCTGCCTTCAGATGTCTTCTAAAAGTCAGATAGTTTATTATCTCCTTGACATCTGCTGGGAGGGTGTTCTACAGGGAGGGCGCCACCACTGAGAAGGCCCTCTACCCAGTTCCGTGTAACTTTCTCGCCGGGAGGGAAGACCCTCAGAGGTGGACCTCAGTGTCCTGGCAGAACGATGGAGGTGGAGACGCTCCTTCTGGTCTACAGGGATGAGGCCATTTAGGGCTTTAAAGGTCTGCACCAATATTTGGAATGGTGCTCGGAAAGGTACTAGCAACCAGTGAAGATCCTTAGGACCAGTGTTATATGTTCTCGGCGTCTGCTCCCAGTCCTAGTCTGGCAGCCACAATCAGCGCATCTCTCTCAGCAGTGTAGTGAGAACTTGCCAGCAATGTGCTCCTGAACTTGGCCAAGCTGGCAGCTGAGGGATGACTGGCAACATCTAGGGGACATCAGGGTCCCATCCCACTTCCTGGCCCAGTAATGTTTACCTTCCAGCTGGTTTCCTCCTCTTTGTCCTCGAAGCCGTTGTGGATGTAGAGCACGTCAAAGTAGTAATAAGGGCACTGGAGCATTTTCTGTGCGGAA